GCAACTTTCTGGGGTATATTTAATGTGCATTCCTTTTTACTTTTCAACCAAAGAACTGGAAAGCCATTGCTACTCATTTTTAGCATACTCTTAAAGGACAAGTAACTTAATTTCTTTGCTATTAAAAGTCTGTTGTAGTTACAGGAAGATGTGACCACGTGTCATCAATTCTTATTAGTCTATATGCAGTTAGATGGTCTCACCGTTTCTTGTCTTTTTTTCTTCCCTTTTTGTTTTAAAGGAAGCTTAATTGGTTTGCCTGAAAACAAGTTGCGCATTTGTATTCAGCCTCAGCCACAAAGCCTGACAGTGGGGGATGCTTTGGTACTAGAATGTGGAGCTGTTGGAAACCCAATTCCTCGTTACCAGTGGTTCAGAAATGGATTTCCCTTGGCAAATGGGAGCAAAAATGTCTACACGGTAAGTTACTGCAAAGTGACAGCCTTGGGGGACTAGTATGTGAGCACCTTTAACTTGTAACATAAAGCTTCGTTGAAGAAAGTAACTTCTTCATATCCTTGATAACTTTTTACGGGAGTGCACGCTGTGAGTTGTGCTCCTGTTCTGTTCCTCACTGTCGTGGTTTAACCCCAGCCGGCATCTAAGCCCGAGGCAGCCGCTCGCTCGCTCCCCCACCGTGGGACGGGGGAGAGAATCAGAAGGGTAAAAGTGAGAAAACTGGTGGGCTGAGATAAAGACGGTTTAACAGGCAAAGCAAAAGTCGCACACACAAGCAGAACAAAACCAGGAATTCATTCACCACTCCCTGTGGGCAGGCGGGTGTTCAGCCACCCCAGGGAAGCAGGGCTCCATCACACATGATGGTGACTTGGGAGGACGGACGCTGTAACTCCGAATGTCCCCTCACCCCTTCCTTCTTCTTCGTCCCACCTTTATATACTGAGCGTGATGTCGTATGGTATGGAATACCCTCTGGCCAGCCTGGGTCAGCTGTCCTGGCTGTGTCCCCTCCAGCTCCCCGTGTACCCCCAGCCTCCTCGCTGGCCACTAGAAGCTGGACAGTCCTTGACTGCTTAGCAACAACTCAAAACATTGGTATGTTAGCAAGGTTTTCTCATCCCCAATCCAAAACACAGCCTCACACTGGCTTCTGTGAAGAAAATTAACTCTATCCTGGCTGAAACCAGGACACTCACTTGCCCATACTATTCTGAAGCTCTTGGGTGCATAATTTTAATCCTGAACATGTTTCATGTGGTAATCATGGGATGTAAGGCTGCAGTGCGTTTTGGATTAGTGTGACATATCAACATAATAAAGATTAAGTATCAGTAAAAGTGAAAGCTTCTCTTTCCGTCCTGCGCTGTAAAGCACACTGGTTTGTACGAGCTGTTGCATTCAGTGCTTAATGCATCTCAAGCCTGAGGGGGTTTTGCATTCTTTCTTCAATTCTTGAAAGCATTTCTAGAACACGTGCTCTCCAGCTTACTGAAGAATGAGGATATCAGCAGCTTTTGGATTTGTTTAGGCTTTGCTTTTAGTTTTTACTAACTGTTGCATGTGGGCTTATAGGAAACTGATAGAGGTGGTATCTTGGGGTCTGGTGGGATGACTGTGATGATGCTTCCATAGGTAACTTATGTGGATGCAGAACACCAAGGGACGTATTGGTGTCACGTATTCAATGACTGGGAAGATCAAGACAGCAAGAAGATAGAAGTCATTATAGGTAAGGAGTTTTTCTATTTGATGTAGGTCAGCTGATTTATCAATTTCTTCCCTATCATTGGAATTTATTTTTGAAGCTTTCATTATTAAGCCAAACATACGCCTTCTGTATTTTTAATATATCCATTTGTCAAAATAGCTGTGCTTTCTTGCAGCAAATGGAATTTTAGAGCTTTATCAGTTATGAAGTACTTTGGGGTTTTATGGTAACCAGCATAGAAATGCTACTGCTTTTTGCCATTGCTAGCACGTACTTGTCACGTTAGCATGTGGCTTGTCAGCAGATTGCAAGCTGGTTTCTTCCTGTTTTTTGACAACTAGAAAACAGTTTAACCCTTGTTGGTGTTAGCGCCTGTGTTACACTGAGTCCTTCAGCAGTCTGGACAGGTGAGATTATTCATAGCAAGCAGAATAACTGAATGTAACATGGTTTAGTGTGTGTGTGCATGTACTTGCAGTAAACTAAAGAGGAGATCTGTTCGTATAGCTTCTAGATCTATCTGGGAATACCATTGCATAATTCATACGAAAAGTCCTTTCCTATCCTAACAGATATTCTAGTTTAGTACTCTAGTTTAGTACTTTAGTACTAGTTTTAGTAATAATTACTATGCAGTGTTGTAGTCAGTGCTCATTTATACTGCTATAAAATGAACCAGATTGCAGAGAAGCTTGGAAGTGACCTTTGTCTTCTGCTTTGTGTGCTAACTCTCATAACTGAGAGCAATTGTCTTCCAATTTCCCCCCCCCCCCACTTTTAAACGCAAGGAAGGAAAGCTATGGCAGTGGAGTGCACAGAAGGTAAAGTAAGTCCTTAGTTGTTAATCAATTTTTAAAAATTAATGACGGGGGTGATGGATTGTTGAATGTGTTGCTGGAAAGCATGTGTGGGTTAAGAGCTTCAGTCTATTTTAACACGCTGATACGTGATGAAAAGTTCCTTCTGCATGTGATTCTTTCTTCTTTGCCTTGATACCATGATCTAGAGCACACGGGAGAAAAACCAGGCTACTTTCTTCCTTTCCTTTGCCTTCCAAACAACTATCCAAAGTTGTTTGATTTTTGCACTGTGTTTGTGTCCTGTGCTTATAGTTTCTAGTGAAATGTAAAGATCTTGAAATTGCTTTGGCTGGGCTCAGGAGGCAACATCCTTGCAAGAAAAACTGAAGATGTTTAGGAACCTAGGTGACCGTAGAGAGCTGGATAGAGCTAGTTCCACTGCCCGTTCTGTGGCTGCAAGAGGTGTTTCCAGCAACCTTATTAGGGTGATTTCTGTTCTCCTTTGCATTGCTGCAATGGGGAGGAAGAAGTGTATTGTGACCTTTAATGTTGATGCCATCCCTTGATTATTGAGCATCTCAAAGTCTGTAATATTTACATCATAGGGGATCATATATAAAGATGTAAGGCTGCTTACAGCAGCCCCCTGCCCCAGCTTACCTACCAGCAATGAAAAAACCAAATGGATTTGCAAAGTACAGTAAGTGGCTCTCTACCCTGTTTTTTCACAGAATCATAGAATTTTCTTGGAATTAAACTGTTCTGCAGCATTTCTTGTTCAAAGTTCAAAGAACACCAGCACTGATGTTCCCCTTAGCCCTTTAATAAAGGTTTAACGTTGTGAGCGGATTGTCTACCATCACTCACAGGAACATACAAGTGACACCCATTTTGGTGTCAGCCACTCCATTGCACTGCTGCTGAGACCGACTATCTCTTCGAGCCTTCATGTCTTTTCTGTCTTGGAGGTGTCTGCATTACCCGATGGAGTGCTATGCAGAAGCCTCCTAGTTACCTGTAATTCAGCTACCCTTTGAAGCAGAAGTTAGCCACTGTATTATAATTCTGTTCTATGATTCTATTATTTGTGGGGCTCTACACTCAAACTACAGTTTGCTTGGGTGCAACACTGTTCTGCTACTAATCTACAGTTACAGCTACAGTAGTTTCACCTCAGGTCACTACCATCTCCCACATGGATATGTGAGCCTGCTTCTGTGGCTCAAGAGGAGCTCCCCTGCATGGAGCAGGCCTGATCCAAGAGACCTCTGGTGCTTCAGATAAATGACTTTTCCATAGTTTCCAGTGTTCTTGGAATAATTAGGTGAAACCTATGGTAGCTTAGAATGTTTGAAAACTGTATCTGAAGTCTTTCTGAATACACATGGTTTTACGAAGTGAGATTTCTTGCTCAGGATGTTGCTTCCTCAGCAGTCCTTCAAAGATTTGCTTTTCAGATGGGTGATTCTGACATCCTGTTCCTTAGTCATTCAAGCGCTTGCATGTCTGTGGGCTTGAGGCGTAATATGTCTTTCTTCCTTTGTTTTGAGACCTACTATATTATAATGCTGTCTAGCGTAGCTTAGTGTATTGATGTAGGATTTTTTCTTCTCTGCGTGTGCAGTAAACATACGAAAGGTTAGATTTACAGAAATGCAAAAACAAAAGTATTTTAGAAAGGTCGTTTGTTTTCTAACATTCAGCTTCTATTAATAATGGCATGACACTTAATTATATTTTTATTAATAAAAATGTATCTTTTGCTTTTTGTTTAAACTATGATTTTATTGGTGTATTTCTTCACAGAAGATCTAAGTGATCTTCAAAAACCAGGTAAGTGATGAGTTTTGAGAACTTACAATTTCGCATCTTCATTTTATGTTACAAATCACTGAAGCCTACCTGGGTTACAATATATAGTTTACATTATTCGGATGTATTTATAACTGGGGATTTAATAGGGGCAGATATCATGTTAAGAGCAGCACAGTTTTCTGCTTCCAATAAATGAACTTGAACATAGTAAATTGTAGGGTTGCTATTATCTTTGTAAAATCACACAAATCACTGTATATAAAAGTGTCTCTCTTATACTGGATGTATATTTCTACAAATACAGAAGGAATTATAGTCTGCTTTCTTGTCTGTGACTTCTTTGGACTCTTAAGTTTTAGCATGTTGCTGCTTCTTCAGATGATTAAGGTGCAAAAGATGTAAGGTGTCTGGCTGTCACCCATGATACGTTGAATTAGTGTATTTCTTAACTTCATGTTGGAGTGAGCTAATGCGATTTGAAGCCTGTTTGATGTTTATTGTAGAAACAGAGATCTGGAAGAGTGCTCCATATCCTTGATACAGTGTTCCCAAAATCTCAAATCACAAAGGTCATACAATCTCCTGGGTTAGACATCAAAGATGTGTTTACTTTTGCCAAGACTTAGTTTTAGTCACTGAAGTGGTAGCGTCATGGTGCATAACACGTTCTCCGAAGTGTACCACTTTGGCATATCGCTTACCTGTTCCTCTTAGCAGAGCGCTGGCTCTACCACCCTTCTCTGAAGTACAAAATCAAATAATTTTCACGTACAGATGGTCATCCCCACTAAGCGTCCCCCATCTTGCATGCCTGCATTTCATTTGGAGAGGATGAACTGTTTCGGATGTTACTGAAAAAGCTGATGTGCAGTTTGAGAGATTCAAAAGTACGCTGTAAGCATCTGTTATTTCTTAATTTCTAGAACTAGCTATTCATGTCTATTAGGCCATGTTTGCTGGAAGAGGGTGAAGGAAATTGGATAAACAAGAACAAAACAAGACCCCAAAACCCCACCAAAACAAAAAAAGAGCACTTTTTTGTCTTAAACTAGTAACATATTAGGCAAAGCAGTACCAATAAACTATGGCTGTATGGAACACGTGGTTCAATTTCTGACATTGGCAGCTATGACTGTAGTTACTGATGATCCACTCTTTTAATCTATTTCAAGCAGACCTACAAGAACAATCAAATCACAGGCCTGTTGGTAAGTAGTTTTGGAGCTGTAATGAATATATGTATTTCATATCTAGGAAATAGATTTTGCTTCTTGTAAACATTGCTGCTTCTGCCACTGCTAGTGAAGTAACTGCATGTAAATAGCTGCAGGGAGGGACACTTCTGCGTATTTTTGTAGTCCTTTATAATGCTTGCCTGCCCTTTCAGTAGTAAACTGTGGTGAGGGCACACTGCTATTTTTAGTGACTTGGTGGAGCGTCTGCATTTTCTCATCTGTTTCAGTTTACTGTTTCAAATTCCTTTGGCCACGACCTTAACCAGTGTGTTACTCTTATTACTTTGAGTACTTCGACAGTTGGAGATAGGGGTATTAGGATGATGTCTGCTAAGGGCATGCTGTCTCTACGAGCTCAGCTCTTCCTGTGCACAATGTGTGGATGCTTTGATCCTGAGCTAAAGCTCGTGAAGGCAGATGGATAGCGTGTAAGTTGCTGGGGATTTTTAATCACGTTCTTAGATTTGCATGGTAGACTTGATTGCGGTCAGGCATGTTACCTTGTTGATGCTACAGCAGGTGGAAAGGCTGCTGGGCTCTGTCAGAATTTTACCAGTCTTTCAGGCTCACCAGTGTGAAAGGGGGAAAAAAGTGTTTTTCAGTGACAGTATACCACTGTTGCTCAGTCATAGAATCACAGAATCATTAAGGTTGGAAAAGACCTTTAAGATCATGAAGCCCAACCATCAACCCAACTAAACCATGTCCCGAAGCACCACCTTTACAGCAGTCTCTACTGTTTAAAATAGTTTACACTGTTCAGGACCCTGGAGGTTTTCCGGGTGCAAAAATGTTGAAAACATCTTGTTTGAAGGAAGCGAAATGTTAGACATTGAGGCTATGGACAGAGATCCTCTTCTGGATCTAGCTGTGTGGGGGTACTGACTCTGAAGCAGATTTGAGGCATTCATGTGATCTCATTTGCCGCCAGAGCTGTGGGACAATAATTCCTATTGGAGAGGAGACATAACAAAGCAGGGATGAAGTGCCTTGCTTTGAATAAGTGCCTTTCTGTAACTTGGTGTGCAATTTTTGGATAAAAATCAGGCTAGTGGTCTCTAAAGCATTTCTGTCAATGTGACTTCTTTTTTCCCCTTTTGTTGCGGCTTTGTTTACTTATGACAGAATTACTTTTGACTTTATTAAAATCCAAGTGACTGCATCTCACGCTGTATCAGTGGACTTCCCTCTGAATTTTGTAAATTTCTTGCATCTCGGTATAATTGTTTTTAACCAGAGCAACAGTAAAAAGAAAGCTTAACAAACAGAAGAAAAGACTTTTTACTTCTGACCTTTAGAAGTTTCCACCTAAATGCACCATGGTTTGGAGAGACAGGACATGGGAGATGGAGATGTGAAAGTGATCTTTTGTGTGTGCTGGTTGGTTGTTTGATTTTTAAGCATAAGAAAATGTGAGTTTTGGGGGAAAGTATACTGGCCATAGCTTTGGCAACTTGCCATAAGAATTTTCACGTTTGTTAAATTTCTTCTTGCATGGGGGAATTCAGTAATTGTCTGTGCTTTCAGAAAAATGAAAGAAATGGGAGATAAACTTCGTGACTTCTTGACAGATTATCCAGTCTGAAATGCATCACAATTCAGATATGTTGACTGTCAGACCATGCCGAAACGCTTTTTTTGTTTTGGTTTTTTTTGGATGAGAAGAGAGTTGAGCTGTATTGTTGATGTAGGATGACTTTTAAAATTGTATAAAATATTGTGCCTGAAGTGAGATTGGATGGTGTTTTCACTTTAGAAGAAGTTAAATTTAAAGATATTGAACACATGGAATATGTAAATGTGCTGTGGTTTTGTTTTTCCCTTGTCTTTGCAGCAACAGACAAGGTGGCTCTCTTAATAGGAAATATGAGTTACTGGAATCACCCCCAACTCAAGGCTCCGATGGTGGATGTCTATGAATTGACTAATTTGCTAAGACAGCTAGATTTTAAAGTTGTTTCTTTGCTGGATCTTACCGAGTTTGAGATGCGAAATGCAGTGGATGAATTTTTACTTCTCCTGGACAAAGGAGTATATGGTAAGAACATGTGATATCCCTTCTGAAGTAGGTCAGTTTCGTGATGTATCAAGTACACAAACAGCTGGTATTTACCTCTACCAGCTCACTATATGTGATAGCAAAACAAACTTCATCATAAATAGTATGTATGTAGAATGGGAAAAGTAAGTTAAAAACGCCCACCAGCATATCCTTTGACTTTGGTTAAAATGTTACTGTTTCTTTACTCTTAGAACAGATAAAACGTTTGAATTTTTGTCTTTAACCACGCCTAAAATGGCAGTGCACTTTTTTTGTCTGATAGTACTGATGTGTTTGTCTGCCAAAAGCTGCTGCACCTGTATAGCATATTTGACAACATGCTCTGCAGAAGATGTACATTTGTACTAAGAAGCCATTAGTGCTAGTTTGTAGTAGTATTTTTAAGCAAGAGCAACAGTAGTCTGTTGTGTCGCCTGTATTAGTGTATTATGGAAACGAGGAAGTAGCAGAGGAGTTGGAAACTGCGAAAGTGCAGCATACAAGACTACCTGTAGCCTTGGGCAGCAGTCCTTGCTGCTTTTAGGAGCCCTCTTAAACACCTTCTTCAGAAATTTCTATTCCGTTGTCCTCTTTCCTTCCCCGTGCCTGCAGGTTAACGATCTGCTTAGGGCTGGCCAGTCCTTGGCATGCCTGGCCTGCTGGGTTGCGTTTCTGCTGGGGAGGTGGGGAACAGCCCTCAGTGCAGCGTGGAACGTGTTCTGGGCTTGCCGGTGGGACCCTGCCGTTCATCCCCCGTCTTTCTACTGGATGTCTGCAGAATGCTCTTTCCTTCGGGACTTCGTCCTTCTGGCGCTCTTTGGGAGGGCTGCTCTGCTCTCCTGGTCCTCGCCCGCCAGCTCTGTAACGAACAGAGGAAGAGGGGTGCTTCTCTCTGCCTTGGCAGTGAGCTGCGCTCTGATACCAGGTGTGTTGGGCAGCGGCGGGGAGCGTGGGACACAGTGGCAAGGCATATCTCTCATAAAGACACTACACGCTAAAATACGCAGTACAGAAATAAGAGAAAAGCGTTGTACTTTAGAGTTAGGGCATAGCACTCGACAGATAGGATGCAATCTTTTTTGCCAAGTTTCCAGGTTACGTAGAAATCCTTATTTTGAATTGCCGGTTTCTTTTGGTTATTGTGAAACAGGCCTGGCAAGTTTTTGTTATGAAAAACTCAATCCTTGACAGGGAGTAAGAGAAATCCAGCAAATCTGGATTTCTGCTTCAAAAAGCAAATTGAAAAGAAGTTTGTTTATCTAAAATGAAAATGTAGTTCTCTTATGTCTATGCACTTTAAAAAGTAAAATAAAACAGAGAAGAATTCACATTATCCATTGCAGAATGTACCTTGCATAAGGAAAGGCATTAACAGAGAAATTGGTGAGCTGTGGACTTCAGGTTCTGACTTTCTGCAGTTGTCAATAGAAAAGAACTTTTCACTGAGTTGAGCACTAAGATTCCTGTTTGGGCAGAACTCAGGTACAGCTGTCGTTTCACAGCTCTGTGGAAGGTCTGAATATAGAGTATAAAATTTATTCTTTCTCTGTGTCTTTGCACATTAGATGGGAAGTGTAATAGCTGGTTATGCTGCTTAAGCAGAGAGCAGCCCACTTTTTTTCCTTATTCTTAAACTCTTCAAAGACTTCAAAGTAACACTGCAGAAAAATCCAAGGCGCTCGCCTCTGAATTGCTGCATCACTTTAATGACTGTACTGCAGCATCTCATCAGTATTGGTTTAAGTTGCAGGAGGACAAATTAAGCAAAGTCTGCATACTAAAAGATGTGTGTTTAACACATCTCTTTTATTTCCTCTAAGTTTTTGCTATTTGAGTCACACATCCATTTTTAAGATACCTGGAATAGGATATTAACAGTAATTTAAAGCTCTCCTCCATGTACTGCAGAGGAGGTGCCTTCTGCTGGGGTAATGACTAACCAGTCGGGTCTGCTAGGCATTGCTACTGCTGGTACGCATTGATTCTTAGGTGATTACTCATATATTGGGATTCCTTGTCTTGCATGAACTTGATTTTGAGGGACGAAGCACAAGACGGAACTGGTGGCTGTGCTAACTGGGGCAGGGCATGGTGGAATTGAAGCACAGACCAAAAACCTTCATGTCTTGTGTGGAAGGAGGCCTAGAATGACCTGGCTTGGAGTGTAAGAAAAGTTCTTCTGTGGGCTTTGAGGAGTTTGCTGCTGGCTGCCACTGTTTTTGTCATTTTTCTAAAAGCTAAGATACCATAGACGACTCCAGAAATTATTTAGAACAGAGACCAAAAAGTTCTGCCTGTGTCCTATTTAAATTGCAGAATTCCTATAGTAACGCCCACCCGAGAAAACATTAGTTGATTCTTTTTTGGAACACAAGGTCAGATTATTTCTTAGTATGACTTTTTTTAATGGTGTGTTACCTGATGCTCTCTGCAGAACTGGCTGATCTGACATTTGGGCATTTGTCAGAGCCAAAACTTGCATGACATGAAGACCAATCATGGCAGTAAAGTTCAGTAGACTTTCTGATAGCAGTTTTCTTTTTTTGTTCCCTGGGAAATACATGTGCTTATACATTTGAGTGAGCTTTTAGATTCTTGTGCCTTCTCAATTTTTTTCTATATTGTTGACATGAGTTTAGATAATAAAGTACTGAAAGGCTTTAATAAGTTTCTCACCAGCACCATATGAAGGCTCTTATAAGACATATTTTTGCAGTTGTGTTTTTCCAGCAAGCTGATATTTCTGAAAGGCAAGCAGAGCATTCTTTCACAAGTGTTTGGCAATAACTGCTTCAATTTAAATGGTTACTTTGTTCTTTCTGGATAGTGGCTATTAATGGCTTAAAGCATATAAAAGATGCTGTCAGTGCACAAATAAATAATGATTTATTGCATTTTTAGTGGATGTAGCTCCAAATAGAAGAGGCATAGTGGCTATTTCTGTTTAGTCCTTGTTACACATATTCATGCATAATACGACACTGTGTAATTCTTGCTTACTGCCAGGAAAGTGGCGTTTCAAATACTGTTCCTTACGAGCAGGAGTAGTAAAGAAAGTGATGACGATTGTCTCCTCTAATGTCTTACTATATGTTGTTCTAAATGTAGGGTGCAATTAATATTGTATTTCACAAAGGGTAAAAGCATAGACCAATATGTTTGAAAAGCTAAAAATAGTTAGGCTGCTTTCTTTAAAAAAAAAAAAAAAAAAAAGAGAGAGTGAGAGAAATAGAGAGATGCAGATATCACTTAAATGCTGACGTCTATGAGGAACTTGAGCCTACTTAAAATTGTTGTGTCAAAGTGTCTAATGAGGTCCTCCAAACATACTTAACTCTGCTTCGGGTATGCAGAGGTTTATTTCTGATCTTGAGCTCAACATATTAACTGTTGCAGATACTCATCAGATAAGCATAGCACAGTCATCTGCTCAAGGATCTAAAAAAAATGTAGCTTATTTTTGAAATACATATATTCATTGAGGAAATACTCTGATAAATCATGTTTTACATTAAAGAAACTGGTTTCCTTCAGTCCAATTACTTCTCTAACATACACTCAGATATATATAATCTCAAATACAACCTTGATTTAGGTTCAGAGCCAGACTCTGTGGAAATCAAATTTACGACTTTCCTTTAACGTAGGACCTGACGTGGAGTCATGCATTCTCTTGAAACTACCTGGTCTCAGGTAACCATTGGAATCTTACAATAGCCCAACACTACTTTTATTTCTGTAGGTTTTTAGTCATACGCTTTAAATTCTGTGCCCTTTAGAAATCGTAACTTTTAATTGAATAAAGCTGTTGCCAGTTTTCAAAACTGGCAGATGAACAACCACTAGGCTCCTTGTTAATGAAGCCTTGCATCCTGGAGTTTACCTTGTATGTGCTCCCGGCTGCTAATCCAGACTACGCTGTTTCCCATAAAAAGCAATTGAGCGCTGTTGATTGAATGGAGCAGTTTGCAAGGTCTTGGCATAGTTGTTAATGATTTCTGGGAGCCCACAAGAGAACCGAAGGCTTGCTTTGAAGGGCTATAGTTGTATCTTGGTATTCCTTTACAAAAAGCGCAGGGCTGTGTGAGAGAAGTATTTTCATTTGTTGTAGCTATCTGTAATGACAAGGTAAAAACATCTAGCACACCAACCTACGCAAGCTGACTTAAATGTTAGGGTAAGGCTTATTTTGTTTTTTCTGAATATTCGAGTTGTGTGATGACATAAATTTCACAGCTATTCTTAGTAAGAGTAATGACATAAGAAGGCCGTATCTCCAGTTGGCATAAATTATCATATCTCTGGCTTTTATTCAGCTGCAGCCTACATACTCATTGAAGATCTGACCCATAGACTGCTTTGTATAGATAAATAAAAATTATTTTTAGAAGATGGAATTTGCCATGGATACCTGAAAACAGTACTGGAAGCAGACAACAGGAAAACCCCATTTAATTGAACAAGTTTCTGGTAACTGCATTTTATGGCAGTGGATGTTATTATTGCTAAGATCATCTAATTTTACTGCAAATTTATATGACTTCAATATTTGACATTTTTATTCATATAAGTAGAAGGTAAGCCCTAGGTTGCAGTTCCCTTTTTCAGGGTTAAGAAAAGCTTTTTTAATTCCATGGTATGTTTTCTTTATACAACACTATTGCATGTTTTATTGAAGATTTTATATCTTAAAATATTGTAGACTGTTGTGTATTGGCACGAGGGAGATGATTGTAGGATAATCTTCTGTGTCTAGGTAGGCATGCAAATAATTTGTTTGTTTAGTAGACCCACAAGAGCCATGAATCTCTAACTCTAGATGTAGATGCAATCAACTATAAATGAGTTGTTGGTAGTGGGAATGTGCTCTGGAGTCCTACCAAACATGATCACGAATTAATTTTTTTTTTCCACTTCTAAATATAAAAATATTTCTTATCCCGTCCTGTAAAAAAGACAAAAACAAATGGAGAAACTGACTGTACAAAGGGAACAGTAAAACTAAATACTTGCAAAATGCTCTCATAGGGCAAGCAAGGTTTTTCTCTGATTTTTTTTTTTTCTAGTAAAAGTACTTTTAAGAATTGCCAATGATTAATGGTAAGTAGGAAAAAAAAGGAATATTTTTTAAAGATGACAGCATCTTTCATTTAAAAACAAAAGAAAAAAATCCATCCAAACTGTTCAGCGTATTTTTTTTCCATCTATAAAATCTGCACTGAGTCACTGCTACACAAAGCTTTGTAAATGCACATGTGGAGAAGATGTTTTACAGGTGGCATATTTCCTTATTCATATCTGGGAGTTATATATCATACATAACACATTAGTTCTGTTAGAGGTCATGGCTCTACTTAAAGCATTTTAAGAGTATTTAACTTTGTATGTTTGATGCAGATATCTAATTGATTCTATTCCATGGGTGATTTTAATTTTTTTTTTTTAATTTGTTGTGCCTGTGTACTGAGAAGTTGATGTTAACATGGTTCCCCCACCCCGCCTCCCCTTCCTTCCTGTACTAACAAAGGCATATCGATGTTAAAAAAACCTGCTTGTAGTAGCTTGAATGATCTTAATCTCCCACAGACACATAGGGTGGACATAGTGCATGAGGTTTTTGACCATGCTAACATTTATAGAAATGTTCTGATGTACTCTTGAACTGTGTTTTCAGTCACATATTTTGAAATCTCAGGTTTGTTATACTATGCTGGCCACGGCTACGAAAACTATGGAAACAGTTTCATGGTTCCTATTGATGCTCCAAATCCCTACCGATCTGCAAACTGTCTGTGTGTGCAGAACATCCTCAAACTAATGCAGGAAAAAGAGACGGGACTTAATGTATTCCTACTGGATATGTGTCGGAAAAGGTATAGTCTCATAATTCATTAATAGAGAGAACTGGCATTAAATGTTTGAGGGATGTTTTTGCCTCACGATAGAGGGAGAGAGTATAATAGTTTTGGGAACCAATTGTGAAGTTCAGTTTATTCACTGCAGCAACAAATTAAAACTGAGCCTATTTTAGAAATGAACAAATAAAACCGAACAGACACTCAGAGAATAGCGAGGGATCTTGAGAGAACGCTGGACTTCAGCCTGAGGAGAAATCTTTAGTCTACGCTGAAAATTCACTGTACTTGAAAGTTCATGGTTCTGACAATTCACAGCCTGCACTTGAGTGCTTTTGAAAAATAGGATTCATTCACAGACTTGTTTTGCCTTTGGCCTTGGATGGAAATGTGAAGCTGGTGATTAGACTTTCTGTTTCCATGGGCGGAGACTTGCCTCTTGATTTGAATGATATTTAGTTCTTCTTTTTTTATTGTTGTTTAAAAGTTACAAAGCATCAGTCTTACTAGATAGAAGTGAAATTGGGCATTTTAAAGAAGAAAAATGACCCTTTCCCCTTGCATCATTAACAATCTCCTTCGTTAAAGAGACGAAGGAGAATTCATAAGATCAAAGGCATGTTAATTTGACAGAAGGGCTCAAGTGAAGTGCTTATTTTACAACTCTTAGGAGGCATGGATTTTGTGGACTGCTTTTATGTTGGGGATGTTATATCTTTACTTAGAGCTTAAAAATCAACTAGTAATTGGATTTTTCTAAACAAAGTGCTATTTTCTGTCCATGCTAAGAGACTACTATGCCCGATTAAACTTGCACTTGAAATCAGCTCTTCAGTCAGCACTTCTGAAAATTGGTCCCTAAGGAATGTTTCATAACAGAAAATTGCTAGTGCTTTAGTGTTTGTAGAGCCTCTAAACTTCACTGCTAACGAAATGCCAGTGACCCAATTCAGCTTCACAATCTGTTGTCCAGATAGAAAATACTGCTAGGTAAGCCTCATGTCAACTATGCAGACACCATGTTTGCGGCGGGGGGGAATCTTACAGTTTTTGTTATAACCTAAAATGGCTAGTTATCAGCAATCATTTCTGAAGAGATTGTAGCCAAACACTGCATTGGTTAATATAGCATGCCCTCATCTGAGTAATGTATGATACCTGACTGCATCTTTACATTGTCTTCATGAAAAGTGTTGATGATGCTGATTTTTGTCTGTCAGCAGTCAGGATTCATTCCAGAATGAATGTAAGAGAGAAAAAAATCTGAACTGTGCTTGTTTGGTATTTTGAACAACTGTAGAGTTTGTAACCATTATTACTTCTCAAATTATTATTTTTACTTTTTTGTGTTTCCATTTATTGCAGAAATGAATATGATGACACAGTTCTTATCTTAGATGCTCTGAAGGTTACCGCCAACATTGTTTTTGGATACGCAACGTAAGGAAATTTTTCTCCTGCTATGCCACAGAAGTCTTGAAGCCAAAAGTGACCACTGAGATTGTATAGCTAATCTTTTACAAAAAAATAGTAACTGTGGTGTTAAAGGACCAGTAATTTATATCCATATCTGTGTCCTCATACTATCTTTTTTACTTTGAATCTTTCCACAGTCTTAACTGACTGTGGAAATGCATTTGTAATGATTCCCAGTATGTAACGCTCCCATTCAGATATAGGGTAGCTCCAGTGGGAGAACTGCATTCAGCAAACCAGAGACTGCTGGACAGTGTTCCTGATCTTTTTTTAATGGTTGCTTGTAGGTGTGCTCTACTCATCTAAGTATTATCTATTAGAGGTGAAAAAAACACAGAGAAGAGCAAATTTTACCCTCAGACACAAGGTTCTGTTTCTTTGTGCTGATGGGGAAGGGGCTGTTGTGTCCTGTGTGTTCTAATGGTACTTGCTGCACTGTGAGCTTGTACAGAAGGTTAAGTACTGTGGAGCAGTTGATGAATTATAACCTACATGCTGTACGCTCTTTGGTCATGTGTCTCCTCTGTTAATGCAAGTTAAATTTCCAGAAAAAAATGTTAGAAGCATAAATTAATGAATTACTGGAGGAGTGGCATATAGATTGGCCTCTGTGTTTCTTATTCTAGATGTAAAGAAAAGTTACAACTGCAGTTGATCTATTTGAAAAAGTTACTTATGCGGAAAGCTAAATAACCTCTTTCTATAAGTTTTCAAGTCAAGTGCAAAAGCTGTTGAATAGAAGTAGTCAAGAGCTTTAATAAAGTCTTCTATGAGAAATTTAAGCTCCTCTCATAAACAGTTTGACATCAGCTCTGGTCTGTGGCTTGATTGTAAGTGAAGTCTTTCCAGGATGAGTTGCTTGCAAAGGAATATGATGAGCAGGTTGGCCTTAGACACAACCTAGTTTTCAAATTTTGGGGTTTCTTTCCTCCATTCCCAACATAACTTTACTCCTTTTGTCCTCATGTTGATCTTAATCATGCAGATGTTTCGGTGTTTTTTCCTTGTCTGATACTGGTGATCTCATAGGTGCCAAGGAGCAGAAGCTTTTGAAATTCAGCAGTTGGGGTTAGCCAATGGAATCTTCATGAAGTTTTTGAAGGACCGTTTGTTAGAAGACAAGAAGATTACTGTACTGCTTGATGAGGTTGCAGAAGGTAAACTCCAGCTTACTGCACTAACAGTCTTCTCAGCCTGCATTACTAAAAGCGTTTTTGCTGAAATGTAATTCTTCTCATGGCGAATGTGTTGCACTAGGCTTTCGTGGTGCATTTTGTTAAAATAGCAGCTTTTATCAAAGAAGCAGGTGCTACTGGGCAACACGTTGACAAAGATCATGATATTATAAAGGGATTTGAGCTGCTTTAATAGTGATCAATTTATATTCTCTTTTTAGTGAACTTTATTTGTTTTGAGTGTCTTTCTGCATGGAGCTTTGAATTGTCCATCCACAAAAATTACTCCTCTGTCTTGTGGTGTCAGCTGCTAGTGGTAGTCCAGTCATTTCCACGTTCATTTAAACAGGTGACCTGAGTCCTACCTATCTCAGAGTGCTGTAGTGGTGATTAATTACTTGCTGTCTATCAAAGGGTGTAAGTGCACTATAAAGGGCAATCCACTGTTCTAATATGCCTGGTTCAGTAATTGTCTGTTATAATTGATGGGAGAAGTGCTAAAGTGAAAACTGTTGAGGGAAAATGTATTGTTTCTGTGCAACCATTTGCTCAAAACATAAAAGAATAGATACAGTCATTAACAAAGAGCTGTCCATATAAGATTCTGTTATTTGTAGGTAATGTATGTAATCAGCCAAGTTCTGCTGCGGTTTCTTGGTGTGTACTTGGTGCAACTGCAGATCTCAAAATTTTGCCCAGTCTGTCTTTCGACAAGGATCCAAAAAGCAGAAAAAATCCAAGAGGATCCTAAATGCACAGTAAAGTTTTGCTGTCAATGAGTCAGACTGGTGGAAATGAGATGCAAAGATTAAAGTGACAGAGCTTCTGTCAGTGCTCGTATTGAGGACAGGGAAGATACCATGGGCTGACTAGCTGAAATGTAAGCATGGAATTTGTCAAATTGATGGCAAAAGGAATACAGCATAGCCCCAGAATATAAATTGAAATGTGGTGGTTCTTGGTTACCATTTGCTTGTTTGGTATGTATTCCTGGTCTTTTTGCTTATAGGTGGTGTGCTGCTTGACTAGATGCCATAAAACAAACTTACCATTCTGTATTTTCAGTCGTATCCATTAAACTTTTCATGAAGTTTGTGTGAAAAGTTACATAAAATTTCAGAAGATCTCAGAATTATCCTGAAGAAATAGGATCTGTAAATGGTAAAACTAAAATGATTATTCCAAGGCCTAGGGCTGAAGTTGATTTCCCCACACACACACACCATGGGGCAATGTGTTTGTTTCTTTTTTTCTTTTGCCTGGTGCAGTCAAGCAGAGTGCTTTTTGCGTTAACATTTGTACTTTTTATTTGCTTACAGTACTACTGAATTTTGCCGTTACCTAAATACAAAGGAAGAATTTGAGGACTTGCTGTCCTCTCAGTGGTAGAAACTAGAGCTGGCTGTAGCCGCGCTTCCTGAAAGCCTGGCAGAAGCCCTAATAATGCTCTTCCTGCTGCATGCTCACCAGCTGCTGTATTTAGGTCCAAACTAAGCCATTGTTCCTGAAACTCTTTGTTTTGAAGCAAGCCCCAATATCTTCCCTTTTCTTCACCTTTCTTGCTTTCTGGGACATTCTGAAACTGTTTTGTGAAAAGAGAACCCTGTAATCCACTCATTCTAGCATCAATACTGTGTCTGTAATGTATTTATATACTATGTCTTCAGTTTTTATCCCACATTCTCCCATTGTCAGCCTATTCAAAGCAGAAGTAGGAGTAGAAACTATTAGGTTCTGCTGGTGTCTACTAGTAGGAGTAGACACCCACTTGCATTTTGCAATGGTTACAGACCAGTCTTCCAACTTGCATAAGAACTTTACAAATTTTATAATGAACAAATATCCGAAAATATTCTCACCCTCTTCCTCCCCTCATCCTTTGTCATTGCTTTTGGGTGTTCTTAAGTGGATTAGAATTCTCTTGAGATTTCTCTCTCCTCTTCCCCCCCACCTTTGTGGTTTCCCCATAAGAACATGTCACAATTTTGCCAGCAGCCATTTTCACTACACTTCCCTAAATGTCCCATAAAATACGACTGACTTATTGCTTCGTCTGTACTGCAGGTTAATGTCACATGCTGTAGATGTTCTGATGTGTGACCTATTACTTATCTCATTCTTGAACTCAAGAGTGGAGAGAAAGATTGATTTGTCAGGCAATATGACAACTGTTGTTGTCAGTATTACTAGGTATTGGGTGTTAGTGAGTACACTGGTGCACTTGAAAATGTTCCAAAGGAGTGTTCATGTTAGAAGTGTTCCATGTAAATAGCTTTCATTGTTGTGTTTTTTTATGAACTCATAAATGGAAATTTTCCAGGATTTTTTTAATTCTCTTTGCAGGCCATAGGTTTTGACTATCTGCATGCAATAAAACTGTGTGACCTTTAAATGCGATTGAACTAAATATAGGGAGACCATAAAAAATTGGAGTAAGTTTGAATCACAGAATAGTTGAAGTTGGAAAGGACCTCTGGAGATTGTCAAGTCCAACCCTGTTGCCCAAAGCAGAGTAAACTAGAGCTGGTTGCTCAGGACCTTGTCCATGGGGGTTTTGAATGTCTCCAAGGATGGGAGACTCCACAGTCTCCCTGCACAACCTGTCCCAGTGTTTGCTCACCCTTAGAGTAAAAAGCTTTCTTACGGTTAAGTGGAATTTTCTCTATTTCTATTTATATCTGCTTCTTCTTGTACTGTCACTGGTCTTGACTGAGAAGAGTCAGGCTCTTTTTTTTACTTTCTTGTAAAAAAGAAAGTAAAAACTTTCTTTTTTTTTTTTGTTTCTTACTTTTATTTTACTTTCCCTCATCAAGTCTTTATATGTTGATAAAAAGTCCCCTGAGCCACCTTCTCTCCAGTGTAAACAGTCTCAGCTCTTTCAGCAACTCCTCATAGAACAGATGCTCCAGTTCCCTTATACTTCTCTCATGTGAGAGGTGTTCCAGGCCCCTCATCTCTGTGACCCTTCGCTGCACTCTCTCCAGTATGTATGTGTTATACTTGTACTGGTGAGCCCAGCACTGGACCCAACACTCCAGATGCGGCCTCACCAGTGCTGATGAGAGTGGTCAGATCACCGCCCTTGATCTGCTGGCAATGCTGTTCCTGTTGGCTGCCTCTGTCACAAGAATGCATTGCTGGCTCATGGTCAACTTGGTGTTTAGGAGGGCTCTGCAGAGGGATCTGGAC